TTTATGGCAAGGATTAATTAATATGTTAATTAATCAAACGAATCAAGTTCGTTAAAAGACCACGGGTTAGTTTTGGGCCTCAAGGCCCAATGGGCTTCGAACGTCAAGCCCATTGACTTAAGTTGTATGACAACTTAATGACAAATAATTCACAAAGGCCTTAAAAGCCCAATGAAACCCTATGGCCGGTCATTTTGTTAAAGGAGTGGGGTTTGGACTTAATTACAAGTTTGCCACTCCAATGAATAAAGGTATAAATATGACTTTATAGCCAAAATTCATTTAGGGTTTTCTTTTGGGGAAAGGATGAGAACATAAGCTCTCCTTTCTCTCTAAAGTGGCCGGCCTCCTTGGAGGGTTTAGCTAGCAATCCTACTACTCCAAGGTCACTGATTTCTTCTTCAATCTAACCTTGGTGAAGAGACTTAGAGGTTCTCAATTTTGGGAACTTGGAGAACCATTTCATCCATCCAAATCCATAGATCTAAGATGCAAGGAATGAAGGCCCTCTCTTTGGGTGATTAGCCTTTGCTTATGCAAAGAGGAATCTACAAAGGTATAATTTATCAACTAACAAATGTTGTTTTAAGTTGAGTCAAGGTTCACCAATCTACTAGGCTTTGAATTTCATGGTTAATGTTTTGTTTTTAAGTGCATACAAGCATGATTCCGCATTTTAATTGTTAATTGCATGCTATAGATGTTGCTTAAATGAACATGTTTTTCACAAAATTTCCTTCATTATCTACAAAATATGCACTAAACACATCAAACAACCAATTTCACAAGAAAACATAGCGTAAAACTTAGGAAATATGGGCAATATAAATGTATAAATATTGTGTTATCAAATACCCCCAAATCTATCTTTTGCTAGTCCTCGAGCAAAATTAAAACACGACACAACTAAAAACTAAAAAATTAAAACGAAAAAGTTATTCTAGGCCACTTTGGTAGGGAATCACGATGGCACTCAGCATGTGCCACAAGCCTTTAAACCCCTAGGTGTCCCTAGTTGGAGATGTTGTGTCTCCTGAGGGTTTGCCAGTTGCGTTACCCACAAATGTTTTACTACAAAACAAAGTTGTTAAAGACATCACTTCAATAAATTAATGAAAACCAATGTATGCCCATCACACTTCCAAAACTAAATTTATGCCTTTAAAATCCAGTACACCACATAAAAATAATGTAGCCGACATCTCAAGCACTCGAGCTTAAAAGAATCCACACCCGGTGTGTGTACAAATTCGCCTTGACTCTAATTCTCACTTGGATATCTCTCAATTTTCTCTCAGAACATAGGCTTTCACTCATAACAAGCATATGTGATGAAGTTATGTAAAGGGAATCAAAATATAATCACATATGAGTAATATTAAAAAGAACGCAATTTCTGAAAATAGATCTCATGAAAAGAATCAAATACTAAGAACATAGGTATTGATTTTCACCATTAAGCAAGGTTTCCCCATAAATCCATTAGGTCTTTACTGTGGTTGTAATGTAAGGCTAGGGTAAGGACTATGAAAGAAGGGATACGGAAAAACTAGAACTTGAGATATACCAAGATATTTTCATATGTGGTGTGGCTAGCCCTCAATTGAAACTTGATGTATGATTCTTGGCATCCAGGACTCATGTAATGAGAAAGGAACAATTTCTAGTCTATCTAATTTCTTTGATTTTTTTTTTTTCTCTTTTCTTCTTTCCTTTTTTCGTTTCTTCTTCCTTTTTTTTTTTCTTTAATGCTAGAAATTGCTAAATAATGATACAACACATGGTACCTCGTTACACGCCACTTTCCTTGGTGTAGAGCTCAACTCTTATTTTCGTTTTCGTCATCTTAGTATCTCCCAAGCTATAGGGTATGGCTACAATAGTGCAAAATAGGTAGAGTATAATGTGGGTGATGAGAAAAAATTGGCTAAGTGTTTAGCTTCAAATGGGATATTGGTGCACACAAAAGGGAGGGAATAAGGCCATTTAGTGGTGGAAACATGCATAGCCTAACTTCATCTTTATAGTTCCATCTAACCCAATGGCAAGAATACCCAACATAGAGAAAAGTTCTTTAGTATCCAATGCAAATTAGTATTTATGAGATCGTAAAAATCAAAGAAAGAATTTTAAAAAGTGTTTAAGAGTAGAAACAATAAAACACTCTCAACAAAAGCATAGGCTCAAAATCTCACAAGGGTAGTCTCCACTATTTCTCCACAACATCACACTTTATCCACCAAAACACTTGAGATATGGCATAATGAATGAGTAAAAGTGTGATGCACAGGCCTCCTAGGCAACCCTTTAGTCAAGGTATAATGATTTAGCACATCATATACATTGCCATTAATAAATTAAAGTGACACCTCTAACATCTCATGTTTTAGACCAATCTCCCTTTTTTCTTTTCTTTTCTTTAAATCCCACCCATGATTAATTTAATTGTAGGTCATCATCCTATGCAATTTCTCATCTATGACTATAACAAGAAGACAACGTAGAGCAAGTATACAAAGGAAAATGATACACCTATCGTGGCTCCACATTGTGGAGGAATAATAGCTCCAATCGCTTTGTAGCTAGCATAGACATGCAGCACAAAACCAAAAAGGCCGCAACACCATTTCCTTCTTTTTCTTCAATCTTGTGAGCTTCTCATGGGTAATAACATCATCAGCAAAAATACTTTGAAACACATATTTATTTGTTCTCTGACTATAAATAAATAAAAATAAGCAAAACAAACGTTTTCCACCCCTAAACCTAAACTAAACATTGTCCTCAATGTTTGTGACAAGAAAATTATGTAATGAGTAGAGAAGGTCTTGACAGTATGGAAACACAAACGAATATGCAAGCAAAAATTAAAAAAACAAAGTTACCGAGGTGGGTTGCCTTCCACCAAGCGCTTTAGTTAACGTCTAGGCAAGACGGAATGCACGATCTAAGGCTTGATTAAGTCAAGGTAATCAACCACCTCAGGTGGAGGATCTGATTCAAATATGATTGGATCAATAAAAGGTAATGGAAGGGCTTTTTTCTAGTGGCAACATTAAGCTTTCTATAATCAATGCAAATCCTCCAACCCGTAGTCACCCTTGTTGGCACCAGTTCATTATTGTCATTATTGACACTTGCAATTCCATATTTTTTTGGTACCGCTTTTGAGTTGGAAAGCTCGAGAGGGGTAGTAGGCGCAACATTATGGGGTTGCGGTGCCTTGAACTCCCCTATATCTGCATCACAATTCTCGTCTTCTTCTGCCACTGTTAAAGTTTTTTCCAATTTATTTTTCATTCTATCCTGTGTCAAATTAGAAGCAACAACCGAATCCAAAGAGTCAATCGAGAAACAATCATACGAATTTAGAAGGATAAGATAGAGAATCAAACACTTTAAATTCCATGGTCTCATCAAGGACTGTCATGGTGAGCTTGCCATTTTGAACATCGATGATTGTCTTGCAGTTGCCATGAATGGGCGTCCAAGTAAAATAGGCAATTCCCGATTATGAATTGGTGCGTCCTCCATATCTAAAACAACAAAATATGCAGGAATAATTAGTTTATCGACTTGTACTAAAATATCCTCTACAATACCTCTTGGATATTTAACTGAACGGTCAGCGAGTTGTAAAGACATTGTTGTAGGCTTCAACTCCCCTAATCCCAATTGAATGTATATTGAGTAAGGTATTAAATTTATGCTTGCCCCTAAATCTAGCATAGCTTTTTCAAGCTTTGTATCACCAACAATAATATTAATATTAAAGCTCCCAGGATCCTTCAATTTAGGTGGCAATTTCCTTTGAAGAACTGCACTTACCGTTTCCGATACCATTACCTTTTCATGTGGTTCATACTTACACTTATAATTATTAAGTTCCTTGAAAATTTTTGCATAGGCCGGCATATTCCTAATCATATCAAGCAAAGGTAAGTTCACATTAACTTTAGATAATTTATCATAAATTTCAGCAAAAGACTTATCCCATTTGCTTTTATTTAAGCGGCTAGGAAAGGGAACAGGTGGAACATAAGGCTTTGATGCCTTGTGGAGATTGGATGCAGCTAAAGATGGCTGCTCATTTACTTGAGGGTCTGTCCCAACAATGAAAATAGGTCCATTCATGTCCTCTCTTGTGCTACCCGTGAGTTTCTTTGATGGCTCCTCCTCCATCTCCTTTTCTTCAACTTTTTCACCTACATCATTGAGTAACACATCATTGGATTTAGAATTTAATTCAGTATTAATTACCTTACCACTTCGAAGTATTGTTATCGCCTTGGCTTGCTCCGGTGGGCTTGGAAATTTTCCAAGAACATGGCTTCACATAGCATTTGCAATTTGTCCAACTTGTACTTCCAGCTTCCTTAAAGAGGCCTCTTGTTGTTGAAATTTTTGTTCATTGTTTTGTTGGCTATTTTAGCATACTTGTATAAAAGTATTCAAAGTGTCTTCTAATGAGGGCTTTCTTTGCTGGAAAAAAGAGCTAGCTTGATTTTGATTTTGGTTATTCTTCCATGAAAGATTAGGATGAAACCTCCAACTAGTATTATAAGTATTTGAAAAAGGATCAAATTTAGATTTCTAATTATAGGTATTCATCATATTAGCTTGCTCTTGTAAATATTCTGGAAAAGCCTCACTAGATGAACAAACGTTAGAGACATGACAAAAAATACCACATATTGCACATACCTCACTAAGGGCCGATCCATTATTCAAGACTACATTGCTCAATGTTTTGATTTGTTTGGTTAAATCAGCCACTTTCATAGCAAGGCCATTGCAGGCCATTATTAGGACTAATTTCATAAATGCCTGAATGCTTACCCCTAACACTTCTATGCTGAGAATTTGCACCGAGCATCTCATATAGCTCATAAGTTTGTTGTGCATTTTTTTCACCCATGGCACTACCTGCATTATAAACAATAGCCTGACAGGCTTGGGTTAATCCATCATAGAAAAAATGATTTTGTAATTCTAAAGGATAATGATGGTGAAGACATTGGATTAAAAGCATTTTAAAGCGTTCCCATGCTTCATGGAACGGCTCACCCTCCATTTGGGAAAAAGTGGCGATCTTGCTCCTGAGTTCAGTAATCTTCTGGTGTGAATAAAATTTTCCAACAAACTTATTGTAAATTGCTTCCCGTGTTGCAAGTGATCTAGGTGTCAAAGACATAAGCCATTGCTTAGCTTTGTCCTGAAAACATCTCATCCGCAATTGATCTTTACTTAATCCTTGCAAAGGAAAAGTTTGAATTGTAGCATAAAAATCACGAATGAATGAGAAAGGATCTTCACTAGCAACACCATAAAAAGAAGGAAGCATATTATAATGAATACCTCTCCTTCTTGTGATCAACGACGTTGCATTCACTACCTACAGAAACAAATAATTTTAGACAAATAAAATAAACAAATCCAGGAGGATACACAACTAGAAGTAGTTAGATGGGATTTTAAAACAAATCCTCGGTAATGGCGTCAGAAACTTGATGAACAAATTATATTTCTCTCAAGTGCACGAATAGATATGATAGTATAGCAAGCAAATACGAGTGTCGTACCCACATGGATTTGCAAAGTCACCTAACTAAATCCAATTTTGTAGTACCCACTAGAATTAAAATAACAAAAACAACTAAACTACGAAATTCAAATAATTAACCAAAGAGAAGTTGATCAAGTAATCTTAAGTACAGTAAATTAAAGAGAATTTATGTAAATAATTTCTTAAAACAATGGTTGAAACACTAGGTATCCGACTTCACCATATCAATCCAATTCTATGTCATTAGATAACTTAGTAAAAACAATTCAATTCAGGATCTAGGGTTTGTTCTCTCTTTATTATGATTATCCGTTAGGCGTCCGGGTGTAACCAAGTATTCTTAATCATCAACTTAACCATGGTGTCTAGTCTAAGTCAATAATAAAAATTCCATTAAGTGCAAGAAGAACAAAGAAAACCAAAAAGTGTCTTAGCATGGCGTCTGCATCAACAAAAATTCATTCATCCAAGAGAGCTATCTCAAGGCTAAGCATATGGCGTCTAGTCTCATACATCTAAAAATTCATATTAAAAGTAGCTAATCAATAACATGAACATAAAGAATGATATAAGCACAATGAATGAAACTAGAAACTGTGAATTGATAAAAAAAATGAAGTTAACTAAGACATAGAATTATCATGAAGGCTACATTGGATCCCTAACAAAGAATTAGTTCATCACGACCATCAAATTATAATAAGACATAATTATCACAATCATGATCACCAAGTCGGAAAAGATGTAAAAGAAAACAATGGAGAACCCCCTCGGCATTGGCGTCTTCCTTAGGTCAATCCTTTGTGATGAAGTGCGACTCCCCTTTTTCCTCCCTGCTCTTTTTCACGTTTTTCTTCTTAAATAAACATCTAAGGAATATATAGGTAGGTTTTGTTAGGCTTGCTTTGTGGAAATTGTTGAATCCCAGCCCAAATAGGAATCCCAACATCATCAGACTTCAGTTTCCTGATCCAAACTGGACTCCACTTCTGCGTAGAATTCCTGAACTGACCTCCACATACTAAAACAGGTATAACTTCTTCTAGAAGCATCCAAATCATGATCTGTAAAATTCTTCCGAAACTAAACATCCAGAGCTTTCCATGCATATGTGGCACAACACCCTGTTCGTCCTGATGAATTTTTGACGTCCCAACGAAAATGACAGTTCTGTGCAGCACCTTCCAGCTCCAGTTATAATTTTCACACAGCAGCCATTAAGTTGTGGATTGAACAATTTAACATTTGATGATTGTTGGAATGCTTCTTGACTTCAATTCTTCTCAGTTTTGATCCCTTTTAGTCTTGAAATCACCAAAAGACTACAAAGTCTTCTCTACGGCCCATTATCTACAAAATATGCACTAAACACATCAAACAACCAATTTCACAAGAAAACATAGCGTAAAACTTAGGAAATATGGGCAATATAAATATATAAATATTCTATTATCAATATAATCATCCAAGTGAATTCCTAGTCACAGTTTGCAAAACAACTCTGATTTTCAAGCCTTTAACCTCTTGTTTTTGACTAATTGTCCCTTGGATCTCAACCATTACTTTGTGATTAAACCACCTAACACAGAAGGGAAAACCTTTAACCTACTTCCATATAAAGCAACTATATTTACCATTTTTCCTGACTCATCGGAAAAATACTATAGACAAATTAAACATCAAATTCAAGAACATATGTTCAAATCCATTCACAATCAGAAATCCACCTACAAATACTTAATAAGCATTCACAAGTTTTGGACACATATACAAAAAAAGAAGAATGATTCAGTAGCTATCTGGACATACATATAATAATGACAGTATATATGAATGCTGCCAACAAGACTACACCCACAACAACAACAAACCCTACACCCAAACCAATTTAATTCCATTCATGATACACACACACACAAGTCTATTCTTATGCTTTCATGTACATAGTGATAAAATGGACATATGGCCTCAAACAATAGAAAGGAGCTAATGCAAGTTCTATATTAAAGATGCAAACACATGCTTCATAGAATTCATTTATCTTTCTCTTTGTCAATTAACCTAAGATAAGCCAAATAAAATAATCACATTTCAACATTCAGATACAAATAGGGAAATTGAATTAATCCCATTCATATATGGAAGAATCCAAAGTTGACTCCCAATTCGATACCCAGTTTTGTTTATACAAAAAAAAATGGAAAAAAAAAAAAAAAAAAAAAACTCCTTCCTCCGAATTCCCAATTCGAAAACCCTAACCCAAGATTCCCAATCGAATCCTAAATCCCTAACCTAGGATTTCCAATTCAAACCCTAAATCCCTACATGTTCTAATTAAACCAATTGAACAGAAAAATTGAAAAATTGCAATAATAAATAATTGAATTAAGGGAGAGTGAATTAAGGGATACAGGGTGCTTACCTAGTAATGTTGTGGCGGCAGGGAGATGGTGTGATGTTGGAGTGCAGTGGATACGAGAAGGGGAGTGACAGAGAGATAGAGAAACATAGAAAGAGAGCGAGAAAGGAAGACACTGAGATAGCGTATGCAGATGAGAGTGAAAGCTAGAAAGAATTAGGAGAGAGGACAGTGAACTGGAGAGAATCGCATGTAGAGAATGAGAGAGTGATACAGAGGACAGTGAACTGGCAAATTTTTTTTTTTACATGTTTGCATGACGAGGGTGTTCAAATTTTCGTTGCATGACAGTTTTTAAATAAAAAACAAATTTTTAAATATTTGCGTGACAAATATTTCCAACATGTCGTCGTGCATATTTGTAAATTTAAATTTATTTTTTTGTTTAAATAAATAAAAAAATTTATTAGATTTTTTACAAATTTTAAAGGAAACTTTTGTTTGTATACAAAATAAATACCATTCAATACATATCATTACATTTACATCACAAGTTTTCATTAATCCTCATCTGAACTAGAATAAATATCATCACTTTCGTCAAATTTAGACTCCCATTCCTCCTCATCTGTAGGCACGTCAACATCGTCGGACGCGCGCTCGGGTGCATTGTATCGCGTTAGATTTATGAAGTCAATCATAATGGAGTTGATCGATATTTTGATTTCAGGAGCTCCAATTACCTGATACGGTTCTTTTACAATAGTCATATCCTGCAGTGTATTTGCACCAAGCTCTATTTAAGTCTGAAGTTGTTGGTCAGCAACATCACCACAATCATCAACGGTAGTAGGATCTCGGTCTAGAATATCATATAGCCCTCTGTGCTCAATCTTCTGAACTACTTTCCATCCTCTCCCCCCTTTATGGTCATCTATATAGAAGATTTGTTTGGCCATCGTTGCCAAAATGTAGGGGTCGTCGTTATACTAACATATGTTAGTGTTGACCGATAGCAAACCATCGTCTTGCTTAACACCTCCAACCCTACGTGGGTTTGTATCAAACCAACAACACTGAAACAGGATAACTTGACAGCGGTATTTGTAAAGCAATTGCACAACACTTGACAGTTTTTCATAGAAATCAATGTCTGCAATGTCGCTCGCACCCGGGACATGTACCCCACTATTTTGCGTACAAAGCTTGTCATCATGATCAACTGCCAAAAACTTGACACCATTTACATAACAACCGGAGTACAATTCTACGCTTAGGGGCCCAATAGCCAAGTTGTACAATTCTTCATTGTAAGCGGGCGAATTCATGTCCTTGAATTTCTTCACCTAAATAAATTGCCGTGTTAGTTTAACATTTACAATTATGCAAATAACCTAAAATACGAACAACTTGCATTTTCACAAAACCATCGAGGAAAAAATTCACGGTGCTTTTTGGTATATAAATGTGAAGGATGTTCCCGCTTCATCAACTCTTCATGCTCATCTAGATAGGTAATTATCTCGTCACAATTGTTAAATATAAACCAATGTGCTACCTCTATGTCCATTTTGTTAAACGACTCCCCTCTGATTGGTTTGCCAAAGGGTTGTGCAATTTAGACAAAAATAGAAAGTTTTTCACTTCTCACACCACCGTCATTATTGCGTTGCTATCTATTGAACGTAGTCTCAATGTCTTGTAGGTACATTGCACAAAATGTAAGCGACTCAAATGCCACCCATGCCTCCATGATTGATCCTTCAGGCTTTGCCCTGTTTCTTACACTTTTTTTTAATTAACAGAGTAGTATGCATCAATAAACAAAATATCGTATAAAATTAGTCAAAGGAAGCCTTGCATCACGAACTAAAGTATTTATGGCGATTATATACCTTTCTATAGGATACATCCATTGATAGTTAACGGGTCCAACTAGAAGTGCCTCATCCGGTAATTGATCATGAGGTGGATCATGCTTGTGAAGAAAGTTGGAGGAAATATTTGTTCAAACTTGCATAGCACTTCAATAATATCGTCGCACAACTGTTTAACATCGAACTTAAATAAAGATCTTGCAGTTAATTGAGAAAAATATCTCGCCAACAACATAATCGGCTTCGCCACATTTTTGAGCAAGAGGTGTCGAATTCCCACAGGGAGAAAGTGTTGAAGTATGACA